AAGAAAGGCTCCTCGGCCCCCAATTCTGAGAAACAGGCAATAGCAGACACCGCACCAATATACATAAGGCACCATATAGAGAGCCTCATAGACCAATTCAGGAATGAAGTTATCAACGACCTGAAGCTAGAAGTATGCAGAATAGTTAGAGAAATGCTAAGTACCACCCAAGAAAAAACAGATGGTGGAATGGAAGAACAGAAAAAAAGGGGAGAATTGTTTGATGGAGAAAACAGAGAAAGCATAGAATACGTGAAGCAGGTTCAAAGGGACTACCAAGATACTAAGAAGTCTATAGAAGACTGGCATAACAGCTTGAAAGAAACTAAGGACAGACTATCTGAACTGGAGGGCAGACTTGTAATATGGGAGAATGAAATGAAAAACTTCTTAAAAATAACAAAGAAACAAACAGCAATAATACAAAGACAAGAAGATGATAAGAGGATCCATAACTTAAGGATTAAGAACATAAAAGAAGAAGTAGGGACACAAACAAGTGAACTACAAAAGCTACTCACAGAAATAATCCAGGAGAATTTTCCTAATTTAGCAAAAGGTAAAGATACTCAGATGTATGAGGCATACAGGACCCCAGCTACCTACAACCCAAACAGAGCAACACCCAGGCATATAATAATAAAAATTCCAGAAATTCAATACAAGAACAGAATATTAAAAGCTGTAAGAGACAAGAAACAGACCACTTACAAGGGAACACCCATCAGAATTACAGCAGATTTCTCGGCACAAACCATCAAATCACGAAGAGCGTGGGGGGAAATAATTCAAGCTTTGAAAGATAATAATCTCCAGCCAAGATTGAGATATCCTGCACAACTGTCCCTGGAAATTGATGGAAAAACAAGGTGCTTCCAGGATAAAGAGGAACTGGGGGAATTTGCAACCACCAATTCAACTCTACAGAGAGTATTGCAGGATATTCTAAAAAAAGAAAAATACAAAGAACCCAGAAATAGTGGCGGGGAGGCCACAATGAATGGAGCAGAGAACAAAATGAAGAAGACAAACTGACAGCTACTGACAGAAAAAGAGCTCAACAGAAATGAGGCAGAGACGATTGGATGATAGGAACAGCTATTTTGGAGAAAATGACATCTTAATAGGTAATACTGATTTAGTATCATCTTGTTTTGAAGTCTCATCTAGCTTCTGTCCTTCTGTCTCCAATGGTCTAAATAGGTTGTATCTTACTGGATTTTATTATGTACGATAGTATAAGCAAAAACCTTGTAAAGACAAGGAGATTATACAGAAACCATTATTCATTTTCTGTTAGTCGATTCTAAATACTCTGTAATGCTGTCATTCTCTTGAATGGTTTTACATTGTTTTGATATACTTAATGCTACAGTATACGAAGTTGTACTCAAGGATTTCAAAGAAAGAGACAATATGGTAACTACTTTTAGGTTAGGATTATCTGGTGGTGAAACACTATTCTGCTTAAATGGTTATGTTTTGATCTGCGCTGTTTCGTTGTTATGCCCTCTTTTATCTCAATCTCCACTCCATTATTTACTTTCTTATCTTTATCCTTTTAATTAAAGGAAAAAATAGCAGGATATATTATAGTAACCCACTTTGACTTTTCATTACCTTGATTTAAAGCCCTGTATTACTCTCACCATCTGGTTTTTAACTGATGTTCCCCTATTCTGTTTTGCTGGATAGTATCAGGTTCGAAAGTTTAGGCATCAGCTGTGAAGATAATGAGATGCATTATAACGCCCATTCTTGTTGACTTTTATCTACTTTTGAAGACCTACAATGTCTCCAATGTTTTGGTTTTGTCGGCTTTATTCTTTACTGTTTTGTTCAATTGTATTATAACTAATGATATAGGCAATTCTATTAGAGATAGCGGGAGGCATTATAGTAACCATTGTTGATCACCTTGTATTATGTTTTTACATTATCTATTATGTCCACCCTTTTGACTTGACCGATTCTGTTCTGTTATGTCCCATTTGGTTTTACTCTCTTCCAAAAAAGTAATAAGAACCGTGGGAGCAATGAAACCCAAAATGTGTAATAGTCATGGTACAAAAGAGAGGAAAAGAAAGTGCTCCAAACTATGTAACTGCATGTATATTTAACTGTATAAGATAGAAAATGATATCACAGAGTTTTACTGGATCAATGAACAGAACTGTCTGCAGTATCATTGATGGAATGTCCATTTTACAAGCTTTAATTTTGTGACTTGAACAATTATTTCTAAGATGACAATACGTAATCCATTAACTAGTGATTTCCTACTGTTCATTTTTTTTCTGTAAATCTGTATAACTTGTACCCTTTCCCTGCTTTTTTTTTCTTTTCTCCTTAAATAAAATTTAAAAAAAAAAGAGAAGAAAAAAAAAGAAAAAAAAAAAGAAAATTAGCAACCTGTGTAGGCATTAGGAGCCACGGGTGCTCAGTGCACTGGTGTCCATGGTAATGCCCGAAAGTGCAGTGGACAGATGGCATATGGGGATGGCTATGGAGGAAATAAGGGAGGCCCATGCACACACCTCTTCCTGTGCACAAACATATACAGGTCCATGCCTCCAGTATAAATTCAAAATGGAAACAGTAATGGGCCTGACCTTGCACAATGGAGCCCAAGTGAGCACAAATCAAGAGGATGCTAGGGGAGTAGTAGCTAAGTGCGCACCTGTGCAGTGGGCCTGACCCTCACGCACGGTACCGTGGGTCAGTGTAGAGTGCCAATATGTGCTGTCAACCTGTGATAAAGACGACCCGTGGAACTGGGTGAGGCGGGCACAGCTAAAGCCCCCATGGTTCTTTAACAACGCAGTCTGGCTGAGGAGGCAGCCTGCTGGAAGTTGGTGTTGGGTGCAGATTAATGAGTATTAAATAAATGACACCTGCATTAGTTGCTGCTATGCCTGACAGTGTATGTGAAACAAATTGGGGAGACTGTTACTTATCGTGTTGTAGCAGATTTAATGAATGGGTTTTTTTTCAGTATCTCTGCTGTTGAAGGAAATGGGGAACCGTCTGCTTCCCTGTGGAAAGGTCAACAATGGACTCTCAATGTTCCCCCACGGTGCCAGCATAGCCTGACTCTATGCCCTGGGATGGTACTGGTTGACCCAGTGCCATACACAACACCAACCCCAAGTTGGTATTTCATTACATCTGTGATACAGTGTGAACCTTGAGTGCTTTCCAGACCCAGAGGAGGCATCATCCACAGAAATAATCCAGCCTTAAAGAACAGGATGAGCCACCACTACCTTCAAGCTGCAGAACCTGGGCCATCTGTCATGGCTGGGGGCCATTTGGTCAACCCACATAAAAGCAATGCCTTCTGCTGGTACAGATCATCAGGCTTTTCCACCCCCACTTCACACAAACAACGGCGGCCTTTTTGGGAATCTGGGGACACCTAACCCACCGAGTCCACAATTAACAGAAATACTGAGACCACTTTATTTAGTAAAAGAAGCAGCAAACTGGATTGGGAGCCTGAACAACTCCAGGCTTTTTCTCAAGCAGAAGTGGCTGTAAAACAACTGCAAGCCTCGGGCTATCAGCAGAAAATGAAGTCTGTGAATCCTGTATTTCCGGGTGCAGGTGAGGACTATCGCAGCAGGGAGACAACAAGAGAGTCCCTTAGGAGTTTGGTCACAGAACAGAGCCCTCTCAAGACAACTGTGTGTTGCACACTCTGCCCTAAGCAAGTGGGAGAGCATCACTAAGAGTATCCCATTCCTGTGCACCTCATCTTCCTATCTGTGGATGGCTGCATCGTGACGTTCTGAAGATGCATCTTTCCGGGGCAGAACAAACAGGCACAGTGACCAAACTGCATGCTTGTTACAGCAAGGCAGCTCCCTGGCTTCTGGCCCTTTAGGTAGAGTCCATGCCTCCAAGGACCACTGATGCCAACCGGTCAAGACCAGGAAGCATCAAGTGCTGTCCACCACCACACTTCCACACAACACAAGGGAAGGCTCTTGCACCCAAAGAAGCCCAGCTGGCTTAGGGGCAGCGCAAATGCACTTGGAGCTCTGAAGCTCTGCCTAGCTGCCACAGGGGATCTTCTGAGACCCAGTGACAGGGACCAAATGCTAAGGAACAGGATCCAGGGCAGCAATGGTGAACCTGTGGCATGCACGCTGCATCAGGCTGTTTGTATCACTGAAAGCTCTAAAAGGTTCACAGTCACCAGTCTACACTGCACGAGTGCTTCCGACTGCTAGCCACCACCTCCCCATCTTTTAAAGAGCATGTGTCATGTGACACACAGGTTTTGAGAATTGATTGATCTCTAGGGACAGCATGGCCAAGGAGCCACTTCCACTCAGCCTCTGAGTGCCAATTCCCTATTGGAGTTCGGTCACCTTCTTCCCAGGCCTGGGAACAGCTCAGGTCCTAGCACCCAGAACTATCTTGGAATTGCCCCAACCCAGGACAAGTCAGGAATATGCCTTTGGTTAATTCGTAAAGAATGCTTTAAACTGCCCTTCCAAGTGAGCAAAGTAGTTATACAAACTTTATCTCAATGCAAGATGTTATGAAACTTTAGTAGCACACCTGAAATAATCTTTTGAGAGATGCCGCTTATCCCCAAGAATCACTCCCGTGAGAGGCTCCTCAGCAGGAAGCAGCTGTACAATGACCCAGCTCACTGGAGAGCAGGTGCCCAGGCATGGGGAGTGCACCTTTCCCTCCCCAGCTGCTCCTTGCCTGCGAGGCGGCTCTAAGCATGATGAGAGCAGCGGGCTTTCTCCCTCTTCCAAAAGCTTTGGAAACTATTTTCCCACTCATCAGTGTACCCGGAGGACCATGTCCCCACGCTGCAGAGGATGGGACACCTGGTCATACTCTACTACCCTTGCTTTCCTAATGTTACCTCATAGAATGCCCAGTCTGGTGCAGCAAAACTGCTTGTGACATCTCTGTGTCATGAGGAAGCTATGTGAGGACAGACATGTCTAATGACCTCCCACGAGGCAGGCTCTTACCTGGACCTGCAAAGGGCCAGAGACTGGGTGGCACAGGGTCCTTGGCACTCAGCGGGATCAGGTAGAGGTCCTTGATCCGCCTGTGGGTATTAGCGACGACCCCAAAGCGGCCACAGCTGCTGAAGTAGTAGTAGAGAGAGGTGTAGGCCCCCTCTTCCTCCGAGGTCACAGGCTGAAAGCAGATCAGACACAGCTCCTGCAAGACAAAGCACGCCAGAGCCTTCACTGGGCTGCCACTAGCCAGCCCAGTCACAGGCTGTGCCTGAGCCTCCCACATAAGTCCTGGTGATTCCCACTGTCATTTTCTGTCTCCCGGTTCAGTGTGCAAAAGTAAAGAAATGTAAAGAAAACCCAGGCTCATGCTTCAGGCTTTCAAAGCAAAACCTCACTTTTGGCCCGAAGCTCACTATGCTCCTTCCCCTCCACCCAGGTCGGGTCGCACAGGGCCCTGGCAGCAGTGAGGCATCGGCATGCAGGGCCCACCAGCAAGCAGGGCCCACACAGAGCAGCTGTTACTCCGCACGCAGGGATCACGACAAAAGAGACCTGCAAGGGGCGCCAGCTGCCTCCTTGTTACAGGGTGAAGCCGCACAGGACTGAGAGGATCGTCCTTCCCATGAACCAGATGCAAACCCCAGGCCCAACTCAGTCTCAGGGGTACCAGGGAAACAAAGCCAGTTCAGGGCTCAGGGCAGCAGCTGAGCCCAGCCTCCTCATCATTCCCTTTACCAGCTGTCATGAGAGTGAGAGAGACACAGTGCGTGTAATTTTTACCAAAACCAAATTTGCACACATTTTTATATGACATCAGAAGCAAACTCATATTACTGCAATATTCAAACACACCACGAGGTACAGCATCTTCACAAATTTAAGGGTTTCATTTTAAACCTGTAGTAAGTTCCAGACTGATAATTCAACTGTTAGCCCAGCAGAGAGAGGATATACAAGACAGACTGGAACACTTTCTCTGACTGTTGCAGACAGCTGCAGATACCTTGGACACGGAAGACTGGAGCTTGCCGACATAATTCCACACTGTCTCTGGCACAATCCTCCCGCCGATGTGAATCGTATCCGGCAGGTCCTAAACAGGAAGGACTCGGAGTAAATGGATAATAGGGGATTTCAGCACACAAAACCCCTCCAAACTCAAGAAAACCACAACTAGTTCAAGGCAAGTGGCGCCAGCTTCACATTTGTGTTTGAGGTGAACGGTTAAACACCACCAAGGATTAGAAGCTGCCTTGCCCAAGGGTGGTGTGATGTCTGCCTGCGTCCAACAGGGCCACCATCAGAAGGTCACTTTATGAACACAGAATAATGCTTTGTGCATTAGCCAGAAGGACTGACCAGTTGCTTCTGGCCGAGCTCGCCATAGCCAGGGTCACTATGCTTCCTTTCGCGAAGCAGGAGCCTGCTGCACTGAAAGCTGGGAGTACACGCATTAGGAAACCACAGCTGAAACCCAGTCAGAACACCTGGGTTCTGCCTCTTTGCACTGCATAGCCTTCTCCTCACCGCAGCAACTTCTACTCCACCCGGAGAGGCGCACAGAGCAGGAGATGAAGTGTGACAGGCAGGCTTTGCCCGCCCACGGGGTCCCCTAGGACATGCTCGCAGGGGCATATGCACCCTGGGTTCTCACCTCACTGACACAAACAGAACTCCCAGAGACAGGATACGCCTTAGTAACAAATTTGCCTATGCTCTCCATGTGAATAAGGCCTTTCCAGATGCTGCTGAGGGGAAACGAAGGCAAGGTCCTGTCTCCTATTCGGGGGGACCGTGACTCTGAAATGCTGCTAAATAAAACCACAGCAAAACACTGTCAATCTTTTTGTTCAGTGGAAATCACAAAAAGGTGAAGACAATATATTTACAAGCAGAAGTGAATCCTGTTCATTTGCTAACTTACCTTAGCCAAGAAGTTATTGAAATCCTTATAGTTTAGAAACTTGGACAAAGAAAGTAAACTGAATATATAGTCAGCAAATCATGATGATCACATGACTTCAAATTTCAGTTTGTACTGTTTGTCCCTTCCATACAGTGATTAGGTGCCTGGTGGGAGCCTCGGTGTGAACTGGATTCTGGGGCAAACTTCAGACTTGTGTTTCACTGCCACCTTCCCCTTGCTCATCTCAAAGAAACCACAGGACCCTGGGCAGCTCACACCCAGCCGGGCACCCACCTGACACCTGGCGACGGTGGAACTGACAGATGCCTCAGGTCCAGGGACGAGGTTGGCTTGACAAGTATGGATTTGGGCAATGTCACAGAGAGTACAGCAGGCTTTGGCAGGCCTGGTGTGGCTTCAGTTATATGGGTGCTGTCCAGGTGGTTTTCAGCAGAGGCCATGATAGTGCAGGACCTACCCACAGCAGTCCTGGGGTCACGGTTGGACACTGTGACTGCGGTGACCACCCCATCTGGGCAGCTGGGGAGGACTTTGAGTGGGGAGGGTCTGGCACCTCGGTCCCCTGGAGGCCCAGTGACATACTTTCTCTCTGGCTTTGGGCCAGAGGCCCTTCCCAGGTGTGACTCTGAGGCAGCCACTGCAGATCCTTCAGCAGATACTCGAGAAACCCGATCAGGCAGGGAGCTTCCAGGCTGGGATTTTAAGTCCTCTTGCTTGGCAGAAGGTGATATTTTTTGTTTTTTAGGACCTGGTTCATCTTCAGATGGAACCTGATCTGAAGAAAGCAAAAACAGAGTCAGTGAGAAGGGCAGTGCCATCACAGCCTGCTGTTGAGTAAAGTGGCTTCTTACAGGCACCAAAGGCACAGGATGAAGGTAGGGTGAACTCTAGAAAACCATGTCAGCCTTTCTGATTGTTTCACGTAGGCCTGAATCAGTGATTTTAAACAGAATCAAGGCTTCTTGAGTTTTGAAAGTTCACCCCAGACTATGCTCACCTGTACAAATCTTGTAGTTCAGAGCAGAAAGGTGGGCCGGGTGCTGGCTTGTCTGACCCTTCGACCTCCCGCCAGGGCCACCAAGGAGAGGCGCTGCACTCTTCACATGGACAGCATGTACTGATCTTTGCTGCTCCTCAAAGAAAAAGGGGAAAATGACCAGGTCGTTTCCTTTCCCCGTCATGTCCGAATGACTGTGCACAGGAAGTAGTCTTATAAGAACCGCTGGAAAAGAGGTGGCACTGGGTGCAGGTGCTGGGACCGTCAGAGCTAGCTCCCACACACACCTGTCTTGGTTCAGTGTTTCCCCTCCTCACTGCAGACCCTGCAAGCACTAGGAGGGGTTAAACTTACTGTTCCTGCCACTGCTAAGGTCCGCAATGCTTACATCCCAATCTTGTACAGATGGAAGATAGTCTACCTCAGGAACAGTTTCAGCTTCATGGTGATTTTTTAAAATTTGTTTTGTTTTTTGTCTTTTTGAGACAGGGTTTCACTATGCAGTTCAGGCTGGCCTTAAACTCTTGAATCCTCCTGCTTCAGCCTCCCAAGAGCTGGGGTTACAGATGTGCGTTACCACATCCAGCCTCATGGTACCATTCTTGGATCATTCTTGCTGTCACATAGGGACCTGGTCCCCAAAATGATAAACACAAAATCAGAGCCTTAAACCCTGAGCTCAAAACAAAGAGCAGATGATGCTGAACAACTGAGCTTCCAGAGACTCATATGGCCGTTTGCCATCTGCACTCACATACCTTGTTGGCCTGTCTTTCCATGTGGAAAGCTGTTTAGACACTAATTCCTCTGGTGTCCTTCTCGGGAGTTCCTCCAGAATTTTCTTTGCACATTACTCAATTGAAGTCCCTGTAAACCACTACCTTTCCAACCACTACTGAAAAACGCAGTTATTTGCTAATTTGCAGCGATGTGGGTAAGCGAAGTAGCACAGATGGTGTCAGAGAGTAAGGGCCACAGGGCCTGCAGAGGGCAGTACTCAGCCACACCCTGGGGGGATTCCCTCCTGCTCCCCAGCAGCCTCTCAGAAGGAAGCACCAGCCTGGCCCAGCTGAGAGCTGACTTCATGGCCACGCTGCATGGACTGTGCTGAACACCCAAAGCCTCAGAAAACAGACCCCAGACCCACAGTGGAAGACAAATCCAAAGGGACTTGGGAAGAAGGCAGGAAGAGGTCCATCGATCCGCCTGGCCTTGCTGACATGAGAGGTGCCCTTGATCCCGGTTCTAAAGCACAGGCAAGTAGCACTTTTCAGCCTTCTTTTTTAAACTTGTACTTAGATACAGTTTGGAAAAGTACATCCATTATTACAACCCAGATGACATTGTTTGGTGTGAGTTCTGACAGCTGTCACAAGGAACATTATGATACTCAGTTTTGCGTGATGATGGTTAACACCTAAGTTTGAGTCTAAGACTAATGGGAGATTGAGAGCATAGGACAGCGGTGGCGAACCTGCAGCACGTGCACCACAGCAGGCTGTTAGTTTTTGTGGAAAGCTCTAAAAAGTTCGCCATCACTAGCGTAGCATGAGAGCAATTCCAGCTGTCCTCAGTATTTCAATTTCCACGTGTCACGGGGCAATGGATTTTTTTTTTTTAAAACATCTATGATGAGAACAACAGGTCCAGATTTGAACATGTCTTAATGTGTTTGGCTCATGCTTATTTAAATGTACTAGAACAGTATGAGATTAAATCTCCACAGGTTTCATTTTAATTAGCCTTACGGCTTTCAAAAGATACATAAATAAAACACAGGGAAGGACTCAGACTCAAGGAAGGAACCCAGGAAAATGGCCCTGGCAGGAGGTTTGCGGGCCGAGCTAGGTTGGGGCTCATCCTCCCTCCACAGGCTGAGGCCTGCAGCTCGGGAAGAAGCCTCAGCTACTGGACAGTAAGCAGATGAGGCATAAAAGGTGGCCTGGGGCCTGCAGCCATAGCAGGGACACTTCGCTCACTGGGACACATCTCAGACTTATTGAGGCCCCATGATGGACTGTGGTGATGCTTAGGGTCTGAGTGATTGTGGTGGTGCAGGGCCACCAAGACCCACACAGGACAGCCAATGAGCCAGGAGGGGAGGGACCTGCAGGGGAGGACATAGATGTCCTCGAGTAGGACATCAGGTGTGCGCATGACCCTCAGCAGGCAGCAATCAGATGGCTCCTCCCTCCCGAGCCACACACCTGGCGCTCAGCACCCTGGAGGTGGAGAACAACGCTGCGGTGCTCGCTCCTGTAGCAGGGGTCCATCCCTGGGAACACATTAAGCATCTCCTTCTCAAGGTGGAGGGCGGCTTTCCCACCCTCACTTTCTGTCACGATTAAGTCTCCACTGTCACAGACTCTGAAGGGAGTGGGAAAAGGGCCACATCAGCCAGGCATCTGCAGTCCTGTGGTTTGTAAAGTGGGGCAGTTGTGAATGGGAGCCCCCTGTCCACAGCTGAATGCAGGCGAACAGCCCACCTTTCCCTCAGCCTCTTCTGTAGGCAGCGCCTTGTGCTTTGGCAAATCTGCGACTCTGGTGGGGACCAGGCAGCACCTGAAGCCATAAGGTGTCCAGGGGCTGCGGAAGCCATGGGGCCTGAAGTCACCACAGGTCTTCTCTTGGCTTCCAGCATTTCCAGATCCCTTGCCCGAGGCCTGGATACTGGACCCCCCTGCCTGGCCTTAGAGGAGCAGCCTGCTGGGGCCCCCGAGAGCAGGGGCCTCTTGGGGATGGGGCCCCCAAAGCCTGAGGGTGACTTCTTAATGGTCGGTTTGGCTCCAGTCACATTCACGAAAGGATGGGGCTTCTTCAGCAGATGTCTGCCCACTGGGGAGCCTGGAAGGGTCATGGTCTCTGCACTATCCGTGCTCCTGGGGTCCCTTGGGGCTGCGGAGCAGAACACAGAGATGCTGGGTGAGACAGGGCAACAAAGCACACTCGGCAGAAGTCTCACAGTGCTTCCCAGGCATTGCTATGGTGCACTTCCAGAAGCATCCAAAAACCTTAAAATTCAGAAAAGCATTGCAAGCCAGGGCTGCCAGCAGTATTTATGACAGTAACTACACTCTCCGTCTATACTCTCCCCAATAAACCACAGGGCTGGGTCATATGTGTCCTTTAAAGCTTTTGCATCAGCCAGAGAGATAATCATCTTGGACCTCATTTCTTCACTAAGCTATAAAATTAAAGGAGAAATTTCAGCTCATCAAACACAAATATAAGTTTCAAAAATCATTTCAGGTCGGGACACGGGTCCACTCCTGTTCCCACTCATTCTTGACCCTAGGGGTCCTAGAGGCAGGATCCCTGTCAGCACAAGCATCACCTGTCACCTCACTGTCCTGGACGTGGCTCTTGGAGACCATATTTCCACACCAAGACGCAGGTGAAGAGAACACCGTGAGGCTGCTCTACTGACGACACACGCAACTCTGCAGCTGCAATTTCCTCAGCCTGAGGAGCTGATTACCTGGTGCTTTTGACCGGCAAGAAAGGTCACCAGAATATCAACAGAAAACAGGGAAAATCTCCCAGCTAGAACCAAATCCCACACATGTCAACACAGAATGACACACGAGGCTGTCCCAGAACACTGGGGAGGCTGGTCCACAGTCCTGGATGGATAGTGCCTGTCCTTCAAACGGAATGCTGGGTAAGAGTCCAGGACCAGAGCTACTGAGGATGCCCAGGAACAGAAGGCCTGTCAGTATTTTTGACATTGTACTGTTAAACTCTAAAGCTCTGAGACTCTTACAGAATCTCAAGCAAACCTCTATACACTTGTGCAGTACGACCTGAAGCAAATCATGAGCAACAGTGAACCCTGACCTTGTTTCTGGTCACAAACACATGTGGGCTTGAAATCTTTGGCGTCTACTCTCAGTGGGAAGCTTTAGGATCATGTTCAGTGACATGAAGTCTCTACTGGCCTAACTGTATTTCCCTTCTTACTCAGGCAAAATCCAAGTCGATAATGTATTTCCAGGACACATCCATATGATGAAGGCCATCAATTACCCCAGAGGGGTCACCATGCCGCACAGGGGATGTGGCTCCTTAGCCAACAGGCTCTGGGTCCACGAACCACTGGTTTCTGCTCCTTTGAACCCAATGTTTTGTGACTCCTTGCTTGGGCTTCAAACAGCAATATGTATAATTAAATATAATTATAGTACATATACTATAGTACACAAATTATTTGCAAAAAAGTGAAATCTGGGGTGATGCCAAGAGACAGCTGCCTCCAGTTCACCTGCTTTGTGGTACACATCCAGCCTTCTTCCATACAGAGGGAGGTGTTTAAAACACACCGAGAATTCTACACAGCAACAGCCGAAGGTCCTCATACACCTCTGCCGCTGAATGGGAGCCAGGCTGCAGTATGAGGCCTCAATGACAGTAAGAAACTCCTTTCCTTTTCTGAGTGAGTAAATCTGCAGTGCTTCTCCCCATTGTTTTTCCCTCTGTTGTTCTGTGTTGCAGGGGACTAAACCCAAGGACTTGTACATGTAAGGGAAGGTGCCTCCCACTGAGCCATAACCCCCAGCCCCACACAACAGTCTCCGTGTGTCCTCACTTCTAACACCAAAAAAGGTTCCAGGAAGCCAGCAGCAGATCTTTTGCAGTCTGAGCCTCCAGTTTGCATCTGCATGGGCCCTATCCAGGTGGCACTGTGCACCAGCCTGCACCACGCAGAGAGGGGCAATGCTTGGTGCCCACAGCCAGACACACATGCCTGCAGAGCAGCTCCCCCTTCCTTTGGCTCCCCCCGCCTTGGCCCTGTGGGAAAGAAAGCACTGCTCTAAGGCTTAATACTACAAGGGATGGCAGCCAAGGAGCCTGGGCTGTGGCCTCAGACAAAACTCGGGCTGCCAAGGCTGGCCTTTTGCCTGGATATCCCATCATCCAGGGTAGAGCCCAACACAGCTGGCCGCTGAGCACAGTATCAGCATCACGCAGGAATCAAGGGTCTCCTCACACCAGAAGGTCAGAGTGTGGGCTATTACGCCATCAGTCGGTCACTGGGTGGTATCCCAGGCCACAGGAACAAAGTGGGTAGAATATCTGCACTCCCCTGGCCATCAGCCAGACCCCATCCAATTGCCAAGATGGAAACTGCATCAGGACAGGCAGCAGGGCCTCTGAAAACAGGGATGAGATCCAGAACCACAGCCCCATTTGCCCCACCACATGTCCAGGGTCTCCATCCTCCAGGGCACCTCACAAGCAGTCAACTGGTAAAGAGCAATGGAGCCAAACTCTTACTTTACAATGGCAAGAGAAATCTGCCCAACCTTAAGCGAAACAAATTAAGTACATTTGCTTCTCTAGCTTTTGCAGCTGAAACTGTAACCAGCTGTGTGTGGATAGGTAACAAATACAAAAAAAAAAAGTCCTCATTATGATAATTTTATACACATGGGTACAATATTGAGGCACTATAGGAGGTATCTCCAGAGGGCACCTTTGTACTGGACGTCCCTGGCAATGCTGTCCCATTTTCCTGGAGGATGGATCTTCAGGGAGTAACAGAGGAGATGCGCAGTGTGCAGGAAGGCCGTGGAGAGCTGGTGAGTTCAGGGAGACAAACCCTCTGGAAACATCCACCCTCACACCTGTTCCCAGCAGGTAGGGGACAGCTGCAGGACAGACTGGCAGGTTGCCTGGCCCTAGGGAGGGGCTCGCTTGGCCCATCCAAGTTCACAGACAAGTGACCTAGTTTTCTGAGCAGTAAGTTATTTTCTTTAAATTTACAACAATTAAAATAAACACCCCAAAACAGTGATGATGTAGACACCCAAGAAAAATCCAGCAATTAACACAGAAATATTTGCTAAGTCGATTCCTTTATCAGCACAAATTTTGTCTAATTAGGAAATTGGTTTGCACATAACATTTAGTTTTCACTCATTTTATTCTTTTGGTAACTCCTGCAAAGACAGAAAAATGGCTGTACCAGCTGGTAAAACATGACCTCCAGTCTAATTCAGATTTCTAGGTCAGAGAGTGGCATTCTCTCTCCCAGGTTATAGCTTTCCCATGTAAGTACCAAAGGGAATTTGTTCCTCTTAAGATCTCAATCACCCATGCCCTGGGCCTACAGCCTGAGTTCCCCCTAGAAACCTGTGCTCTGCCCTTCAGTTCCTCACATCTCCAGGACTTTCTTCTGTGTGATGAAGGGTCACCCAAGAAACGCTTTGCCTGGGTTACGGGCACAGCAAATCACTGGGACGGCCCACATACTATGTCGTTTTGCCTTTTCATCTCCATGATGATACTGAATGCCTTCCTGGTTTAAATTGTTCACATCCCCACTTAGGGGGTCCAAACCACCATAGACTGTGAGTAGAATGGAACATCACTGAAAAATCCTAAGGCAGGAGTCTTTAAAGAAGAAAAAACATTTTGGCCCACTTAATGCCTTACCAGTCATGGGGAGGGAGAAACAGGGAAATCCTAGAGGAGTAAGGGTACACAGCCCAGCAGGGGTACTGTGACCTTGGAGAGGGCAAATGCTGTTACCGTGAGCTGTAAACTCATACAGAAATCCTGGTACATGGTGTAGAGGACGACAGAGATGCAGCAGGAATCACACACCTGGTGAGAGGAGCGGCAAGGTCCACCGCTTCCCATGTGGCCCCAGGGACTCGGGGGACAGGGTGCAGATGAGGCTCCACCATGAGGAGCTATGATGGCCGCTCTGCCATGCGGTTCTTCTCATATGGATACGTGGAGCTAGAGATGGGTCAACTCCCGAGAAAGCAGGCTACATGTGACTAGAGTTGGCTTCTTCTGAACCTCATCACCCACCCGCCCAGCCTGTGAGCCTGCAGGCAGCTGGGAAAGCAGGGCCAGGGCTGTGGGTGCTGCCCATCCCTCCTGCCCATTGGGCCAAGGAGATCGTGCACTGCCACCCCACAGGTGCGGAAACATTTGGACAGCAGAGGGGCACAGACATGCTTCTGCCCTTTGGACTGCTTTACCGGTCTCCTTACCATCTTCTCAGTCACTGTTGTGGAAGATGACATTTCTGGGACAACAGAAAACTCCAGAAGCCAACAGCTCCAAGTGTGTGTGCCCCTCGTGCACGCCATCATCCAGATGCCCATCAGTTTCAAGTTAAGAGATGTGCGTGTGCTGGGAACACTGTTCACTTGCTTATTTGTCCCAACTTCCTGCCAATGGAGCCTGTGAACTGAAGACCCACTGTGCAAAAGAGGAGCAAACCTCCCACCCCTGTGCAGAGAAATGGGTTCTCTATGATGCCGTGAGCTTCTCTTTGTTTCTTGGTTCCCCTTGAAGGTGGCATGGTGATGGCAGAACCTAATATTCCCCCCTCCCTCATCCACCCTTCCCACACACAGGGTCTCCCACATGACCCCTCGAAGTTTCAGCAGGCTTTGCACTCTCATGCACTCATGGGGCTGAACCCAAATTAAGCCCATCACCCAGGCATTCTGGCTGCGGTCAAACACTCAAGCGTTCCCTGCAGTGTAATGTGCCTGTCACGGCGGCCCGTCATACTCTCAACATGCAAGCAGTGCTCAGGTCTCAGTGTTCATTCCTCTATAGAGGAGCTACTATAGAGCTGCTCTGTTAGCATGGAGTTAGTACCTGTTAGCATGGAGTTCACTGCTTAATCCACCGTTAGTAACGTGTACTGAGCTCCATCAAAGTACAGCTGCTGGTGCATTTGATTACAGTCCTTGTGGTTCCATCTGCAGTCCTGGGCTTATGGATTTTAAATTCTTAACCAGGTAACACCTAGTACCTACCTGCATCAGTCCCTGCCCCCAGGTGTTGTATGACAGGCTGAGAAAATAGGGCATGTACTCCAGAACGCAGGGGTACTCTACCAGGTGGTATTTTATAAAAGGACAAAATACACGGGAGCAGTCGTGGTGAACCTTTTAGAGCTCTCAGTGGGACAAACAGCCTGTTGTGGCACCTGTGGCATAAGGCTGTCGTCACAGCCCTAGAGAGAGGGAGACAGCATAAACAAAACCTGATCCAAAACCAGGTCTACCAGATAATAAAATGTGCTCTGTGCATCCTAATCCGAATATTTAGAATTCAGCTTTGAATCATGAGACAGAGAAACAAGGACAGGTCCAAGCTGTGTGATCTAAACTGTGGATTCACACACCAGCCTGAAGTATCTTCATTTCACTCACTGCAAACCTGGGCCAGGGTTGCAGCCTGAACACTGCAGAGGAGCCAAGATCTTCCCGACACCCCTGACGCCATGGCTCCCCCTTCAGCAAGCACACTGCTCTCTGAGTTCAGGACCACACCCACTCTGGTGCCTTAGCTCTTTCTGCTCACTTTAGTGATGCGTAATGTGTGAAAATCTGTGTGAACCAAATGTCTGTTGTCAAGTCAAAAATTCCATGGAACTCTAAAACTGTACCAAAGCTATCTGACTAGTTTGCACAGAGATGCCTGCAGCATGGCAAAGGAGTAATGGGGAAAGCTCGGTTTCTGTGCAGGGTCACGATGAAGTGAGCTCAGCAGCAGTGGATCTGTGCCTGGGTCAGGCCCTGAGGGACCCGGGTTTGCTGGATATAATACAAGCACTCGCCAGAGCCTGCCCCCTGCACGTAGCAGGACACTAAGAACTGCACCCCGACCAGGAGCATTAGTAGCGAGGCTTTTCTTTGGCTAACACTGGAAGGGCCACAGGTGAGGGATAGTCAGTCAGGCTCTGGAGTAGCCCGGGACACAGGCATCTGCTTTGGGCTAATGGTGATGAGCGTCCACACTGCACTAAAACATAGCCTCAACTGCCCATCCCACATACCCCCGTGGCCATCCAGAGTGCAGGTGGCACACAGAGGCTCACATAGGGGGACACCTACATTTGCTCCAGCACAGTGGGGAGGGAGCAGCAGTCTTCTGCGGCACTGCAGCGCTGGCCTGGTGGTTGCTGGCTCGGGAGGGCATGCTGCTTTTGTTGGCTGCCTCCTTCCCCATGGTGTCGCCCCTAGGAGTTATCATTGCCTTCTTCACCGGGTTTTCGATTTCATCTGGAGGTGGCCGCTTGTGCACAGAGGATGTTGTAACCCCTGCCTGGATAATCAGTAAAGCCCAGTGGTTAAGGTCAGAAACCTCACCTCTGCTGTCGCTTACACAGCAGTTAATGTCACAAGACTACTTTCGTTCACCTTCAGACACCTCCTCCACCCTGGGCCGCTACAGCTGCTCCTGTGGTCAAGACTGCACACTTGGGGTCCTCACATTCCCACTGAATGCTGCAGAGCTCAGGTCTCTGGGTCACAGAGCTGAGATGGAATATCCTTCTGCAGACATCTGTCTGCTGGACAAGAGGACGGTGAGCCACTTGAGTGATGCAGAGGATTGAGCCCTGGCATGGTGCAAACGGCCTGCGCGGGTGTCAGGATGCTCTCAGCCCCAGAAAGGTGCTGGGATGCGCAAGCAAGAGGAAGCAAATACCATTTTACTCCTAGATGGAAACTCTGGAGGTTTAGATGCTGAGGGAAAGTCTTGAACCTTTGGTCTGCTGTTCCCTGACTCTGTGTTCTGGCCCTGACCTTTGGCAGCTGTGGGATTCTAAATGAGAAGCCTTCAAGTCAAGGCATCCAAGGCTAAGCAGGCAACAGGCGATGCACGGGATCACGAGAGCAGGTAGAGGCAGGATTTGGACAGTCCACACAGGCCAAGCACTGACGGTTGTTTCCAGATGAGCTCAGGATAACTCGTGACTAACACAAAGCTCCTCATTTTGAAACATCCCTGATTCTTCTAGATCACAGCTAGAAAAAGTAGCATCCTGTCTGGGACCTACCTACCCTCCTGCGTCACATACAAACACAAGGGGTGGTTATGAGTACCCAGATGGCGTTGGCGTTGGGAATCCTGCATGGCCCTTATTCCTGCATGGTGGCCACTTTCCTGCACTGCATCAGGTTAACTGAGCTGTCAGCTAAGGGCAGGAGACAGAGGTAAAGGGCATGGGACCTGCATGACACCTGCAATGCCCATGTTATACACCTTCAGTAAATAAGCACAGAGACACAGGACACACACTGTCACACACATGGCTGTGTCAAAGGTCCCAGTGGTCACCTGGCTCAGCTCACCTGCACACTAGGCTTTGGGGGATGGAGCTCTCTGGGCTTCATCTTGGACTTCTTCTTAGGCTTCAGCCTGCGTCCTTTCTGCACACTGAGCAATCTCATAGCTGCTGCTGCGTGCTTGAGAATGCAGTTGTTGCTGCAGTACACTGTGCCAGGCTGCGCCACACTGGAGCACCCAGGGCCCGCGCAAGGCACAGCGCCAGGAGCCACTGTGACCTGCAGAAGCCAACAGGAGGCATCAGACGATGGGCACCATGCGGGCATGAAATGTACCTTGTCACACGCTATGAATGACACCAAGGTTACATCTGTGAGAGACTCTCTAACAGTAACTTTCAACGCGAATAGAAATCATCTTTGTTCAAGCAAACTGCACATCTTGTCCGCTGCACAGGGCACCACTGTGTAACCACTCCTGCAGCTCATGCTGAGTGGGATGAGAAGGCTGTCGCTGTGCACACACTCTGCAATTCCCTCCCCTTCAGCTTGAGCACCACTGAGGACATCTGGGGACCAAATGGCAGCCCACCCTGGTGAGACAACGTGGAGTCGCAAAGTTGAGACTTAACCAGGTAAAAGTCTGACAGGAGGCCCTGGGCCTGGAGGGACATAAGAGGCCCTGGCAGAAGGTGGGGCTGAGGTGGTTAAGACAGGAGCACAGGGATGACAGGGATGACAGGGGCTCCAGAAAACCAGTGATGATTCTTCAGTACCACCGTCACCAAGGCGGCAGGAACGCATGCTCTGCACGGGCGAGGGCTCCAGGAGGGACACCTCCCCAGCAGAGTCTCCAACCCCAGTGGCGCCCCATGAGGTCTCGGGCCAGCTCAGCGGTCCAGGCTCTGAGCTGGGGACATGGGGCCTTGGTGTGTGGCCTCCAGCTGTACCTTGGTGACTCCTCACAGAGCACTGGCCCATGAGGAGCAGTATGCCTGCCCACGCCTGCTGACCAACCCTAAAGCTTGTCTGAAGGTCCAGGCCACACAGCCACCCCTCACATTTCCCCAGGGAACATCACATCAGCAGGGCACAGGGTTCTGCACCAAAGCCCAGTCTCTGAGTGACACATCGGCTTACGTGGGGCAGGTCAAACTATGATGCTGAAGACAGAAAACTGGGGACCCTCCCTTAGTAAATGGGTGCTACCAGAGGACACCACGTTTTCAGGCAGTCGCTCTTAATACGTCCTCCCTCTGGTTTGCAGTGGCCAGGACCTTGCAGCCTCAGTGTGCAGCACACACACGGCGAGCTTGGCAAGGCAGAGAGGCTCAGAGACATGGCCCCCCCTACCTCACTGTCTCTGTGCCTGCCGGAGAACAGGCAGGCAGCCAGGAGCCCGGGATGGCTCGAGGCGAACTGCGCTGAGTCGGCTGTCACACAACTGGACCAGAGATACCGCAGTGGCGGGTAGCTCTCACCAGCATTGCTGAGGGCAGCAGATGTGACAGCCATGGCCAGGAGGGAAAGGACATGCAGGCAGTGACCCCCTGGCAGGGAAAAGAGGCACTGAGCCAAAGAACACATGCAAAACACACAGGACCTCAAGCCCAGGCAGAGGGGCAGGTGTTGGCATAGTAACTGGGAGAGTAAGCCATGGGGGACCACATGTGTCACCCCATAACTCTGGGAGGCTGAAACAGGAAGGGCATGAGCTCGAACAGAGCCTGGACACAGACCAGCCTGGTGAAATCTGCCTCAGAACAGAAACGGAAGAAGGGGCTGGGGTGGGCTCGGTGCTGAGGTCCTGCAGTCAAGTCTGAGTCCTGCAGGAAAATGTAGCCAACATTCATAAGGAGGTCAGCAACCTATTTGTCCTAAGGGCTCTTTTGGGGCCCGTGGCACTGAGCAGGAATTTGAGAGAAGGACACTTCCTTGTGGGCCTCCCCAGGCCACACCCCTTGCATGGCCAGCAAAGCCAACTCGGGAAGAAGGGAGGACCCCTTTGGGCTCTGGCTTTCTGTTCACGGCCAGTCCGCCATGGGCAGGGCTAACCCTGCACACTCCCAGGGCTTCCAGATACTCACAGGCGAGGCCGTCCTCGCGGGCTTCTCACCGCTGCAGCTTGAAGTCTCCTCACTTCCGCCCTGGCTCCCCTGCTTGGCACAGGCACTCTGCGTGCCTGGCCCGCTGCTCCTGCGTTCTATGTCCTCAGCACCTCTGGGTCTGCGCCCAGGCTCCTGGTCATCGGTGGCTTCTGCAGTCCCCTTGTGCTGGGTTTGCAGGGTAGTGCAGGCTGCACAGAGGTGATCGTCCCTGTTCTTCTCCAAGGGCTGCCCTCGAGCCTCAGAAACACCCACGCAGTCACCCAGGAACCACTCCTCACAGCGGTCACAGAAGATTACCACCCTGAGAGGACAAAGCGGTGTCTCAGGACGGGGAGGGAATGGCGACAATCACTGCCCAACAGGCTGGGAGGCCAAACCGGCCCAAGCACAGGTCAGTGACGTGTGCGTCCTTCCCCTCCCTTTCAGTCACATGCAACCAGCCTGCTCCGTCATTTTCTCCACCGGAAATTTTTCACAGTGAATTCGTGGCTTGTGTGTGTGCCTGCACACAGCAGCAACACTGCACCATCCCCAACAGGTCCACAGGGCACCCGAGCCTCCCGGGCACCTGTGCCAGCACAGGCCACATGGGCACCATTGGGTCTTCACTCTGCAGGGTCTGGGCTGCCCAGCCCCTGCCCTGGGTATCTGGAACGGCAGATGCGCCCACACCACCGATGCAACAGCCCTGGATGCAGGTAGCTCTAGGATGGAGCAATGAGCTCTGCCCGCCGTCTGCTGCTCAACACTGGAACTAAGCAAAAAGTGTTGCTGGTGGCAGCAGCGTGGAGGGCTGGTGGCAGGCAGTCATCTGCACTTCAGCTTCTGTCTCTCCCCCAGGGACTGTGCAGCTTTTTCCAGTCTAACTGTGTACCAATCCCACCCGCTGGAGAAGGTATGGAGTACTCTGCCTGGTAGGACCCTGACTTTTTCTGAAAGCCAGCAGGAAGCTCCCCGCCCATCATTCTGACCCACCTGTTGCTGAGAGGCTGGCAGCAGACACAGGACATGGCGTTGGGGTCACAGCCCTCGCCCTCAGGCTGAGGTCTGCCCAGGTGCCTGGGGTCTTTGTCTTCAGGTCCCCGTTTCATTGCTGCCTCCAATGCATGCGCTCTGTCATCTGTTGCTGCCTGGCTCACAGCCCTCTGGGCAGCCTCGGTGTCAGTGTCCAGCTTGCGGGGCAGCGCACTGTGGCCGGCACTGCCTGCCTCGGCCTCTGCAGTGTAGCTGGGGTGCCCCTCCCTCAGCGGCTTCCTCAGGCGACTGTGGACACCCTGCAGCCGCCCCCCTGCTGCTTCTGGCTCTGGCTTTCCAGGAAGGTGATCCTGAAGTGCTTCCAAAGTGAAGCCATCACGGACTTCACTGTCCGCACTGTCAGAGGTGCTGCATGGCTCAGCCCATCCTCTGGCCTTCTTAGAAGGGGCGGGGCGTTCCTTCACACAGCGGGAGCTGGGCACTGGTCCCCTCCTCATCCGGGGGCTGCTCTCAATGTACCCTCCCAAGGCGCTTTGCACAGGGGTCTCCAGACAGGATGCTGGCTCTGTGGACTCTTCAAGGGACACAACCACATCCTTTCCTGGTGGCCACACTGTGCTCAGGAACTCCCTGGCCAGCTCCCTGCGCCCTGGCCTCCTGCTGTGGCGCGGGGAGGGGCTGCACAGCCTCTGCCTGGCAGAGTTCCCCTCCTTGTCCCCAGCGCCCTTCCGCTGTGGGGCCAAGATTCTCCGGCTCCCCCAGGTCTTCCTGAATTCTTTCCTCAGGGGCTTGCTGGCCTCAGATGTGTCCTCACTGCTCTGGTCCCCCGCATCATCCATGCCTGAAGAGGGAGGCAATCGCACCTTGAGCACAAACCCCGAGTTCCTCCTCGGGTGCACCCTGATGCCTGGTGCCTGCTTGGGGGAAATAGGAACAGCAGGAAATCAAACGGATCCCTACTGGGAAAGGTGCAGCTGTACATGAGCTGTAGGCTGCTGACCTCCTTGCCTAAGCAGTGGCTGTGAGGCAACCCTGGGCGAATCTTGAACTTTAAGAATATAGCAAATGCTCAGTGGAGAACAATCCAGACTCCCAACACCACACAGTGCCCCGCTCACCTGCCTAGGACCTGGTCTGCCCTTGGGAAGAGGGGATGAGGATGCAATTTCCACAGTGCGGCCAGCTAACACCCAGGGCCACCTGGAGGCCCCGCCCCTCCCATGACAGGGAGCAAGACTGGCCTTGCCCACAAGCACAGGGCGTCCAGCACTGGGCCACTTCTGTGCCCACTGCAAGAACGGGCCAGGTCCCTTCTAGCTCTGGAAGCTGTGCTCAGGGCCCTATGCACCAGACTACAGGGGGCTGAGAGTGGACATAGCCTCAGGCCATCGAGGGATCAGACAGCCCACTGTGGAGCATGGGCTGTGAGGCAGGAAATGGTCTTTAGTCCCCTCTGTGCTTGGACGCAGACACTGCTTCAGCCTCAATTCCGGGCCTCTGTTTCACTTTCTTTCTGCAACACTAAAGCGTGTGCGCCAGACTTTTACTCCTGCTTAAAATGACAGAAGTAGAAGAAAATGGTACATACCTGGATGGGTCCTTTCGACCCTATCCAGCTATCAATCACACATCAATGCTGATTATGTTTCTGATTTTATTCCTCGCTCCATCCTAGGGGGTGGACTGGCAGGCAATGATACCCTAAAAAGTCAAAATACATAAAACTGAAAATTCAGAGCACTCATTTCTTTCTCCCTGTGGCACTCTATTACTAGTGATACACGGCGCCTGCGGGTGACCTCTTCACGCAAGCCTGAACCACTCTCAAAGTCAGCCAGAGGCTGCAGAAGCCAGGAATGCATCACAGGATAGAGGAAGGGGGCCCACCGCTGGAGGGACACTGCCCAGTTAAGGCAGGGGAGAGAGCCCCATCGTGGGCCCAGAACCCGCGTGTGAGGCGTCCAGCACAGGGGCCCTGAGCTACTCTCTCCCAGTAGGGCTGGTTCAGTTCCACTGCTATGAGGCACTGAGAATGGTTCCTTACAGACACAGAGCACAGAGCCCCAGGACAACAGTCACCACTGCCAAGTCACTGCCACCAGAAAGCCTTTCAGGGGAACTCTTCCTGCTCATGGAAACCAACAGTTTGTACCAAATTGTTATTTTTCTAAGGTGGTGCAGGGGCTCACACCCAGGGAATAGAGCTCACTAAAAACACACTCTGTCACACCCCAGCCCAGAGGGACCAAATCGAGAAGTACCCTGAAGAGGGTCGAGTGCTGTTCTGCACAGAACACTGAGTTTCTTCCAGAGACACTGTTAGAGGGGCCCCATCAGGCCTTGGGGAGACGGCACTGGGTGCACACAGACAGGACCCCAGGAAGCTCACTGACACTGCATCAGGGAATGGCTTCCTATAAGGACAACCCTCTTCTGTAATCCACCCTCATCAGAGAGAGGAAATGTGAGCACTAATAAATGTGAGCACTAATATTATCACCAGAATGGGGACTTAGAATATACAGCTGTGAGCACTGATAAAGGAATCCACCCTCCTCAAAGGGGGCACACACAGTATACAGGCATAAACAAAAAATAAGTAAAATCCACCATCATCAGGGATGAGACTCACTGTACTTAGGGGTGAACACTAAAAAAACACCCAGTGGAAAAAACATGAATCAGATTAGGAGATGAATCAATGTTCCAGCCATTGCCTTGGGTGATGCTGGTGGCATTTCAAACAACCAGGAAGGCTCCTTGCATCTGGTTCTTTGCAAAGAATGTGACTCTGAAGGTGGAAACACAGACACTAACTCGTTGCTACTTCTTAATGGGACTGGCTCTTTACCTGTCCCAGCACTGAGTACATGGACAACACCTCCTCAAATCCTCAGTACAACAGGAACCAGACTGCCAAAGCGGCCTGGTCCCGCCCACAGCGAGGCCTCTGCTCTTCAGTCAGTCACCACTGGCCAATGAGAGGGCACAGAGCCCCAGACAGTGCAGAGGTCCTCCGGGAGAGCACCTACGGGAAAGAAAATGTGTCACAGCCCTCAGGTAACACCGATGAAGGAAAACTAAAGGGAGATGCAAACTTCCCAAGTGCTCCACTATGCCAGTGACTGACAGGCACATTCAGGGCGTCTGGAAATTGTGGAAATTGTCCACTTCTGTCTTTGAAGGCCTCCGGCCAGTAGGAGACATGCCAGGTACATTCAAGAGGGGACCAGGTCAGCCCAGGGCCTAGAAAGTAGCCCCCACAAACCTCAAGGGTCAGGAATTGGGCAGCAGCCTCTGCCCCAGTAGAGCCTGCTCATGAGGGGACCCAACTCAGGAAAACTCAACTCGGGCATGAGACAAGGGCCCAAAATAGAAAGCACATGGACAAAATGATGTCCACAATTATTGTAAACCTCTTAACACTGTGGCTACAGCATCACTTAGTGGACACCCTATCAGGAGTTTTAAAAGCCAGTGTTTATGGTGACTAAATCTCCCTGGGGTGGCGGGAGGGGCGGGGTGGGGCTTCTCTGTGGAAGGAAGGACACTGCTCCTCCCAGATGCCTTAGGACAGCCTGGGTCTAAACACTCCCTGGGGATGCCGCTGGAGCCACATTCAGGGGATTTATCTCTCCACCACTTAGGCCCCACAGCCTCTCTCCTGAGCACAGCCCACCTCTTACCTCTCCCTCTGTCTGGCTCCAACTGGCCTGCCCTACCTGGGGCTCCCTAGTGACCTCAGACAATGGACAAACATTCCACCTCCCTTTAAAGGGACAGCGACCACCCAGGCTTCACCCAGGCCTGAGCCAGACCTTGGGCTGACCCAGACATGCCTCTGACAGCCACAGGAGCCCATCACAATCTCATCAGGACCTACATGTGGTCATGGTCAGAGTTCCCCCTCCCCTTCCCCACTTCAAGGATTCAGAAAGGAGCCTGCAGTGAGATGAAAATGAGCAGACCACATACCAGGATCCCTGAGCTTCAGAGAAGGAAATTCAAAGTTAGAAATCCTTAGCCAGGAGTTCCTACAGCAGAAAATCACAGAGATGTCAGATAAGCCACCTAATGATGTATCTCAAGTGAAAAACAGAATGAACTAAAACCAAAGCCAACTCCAAGAAAGAAATGCGCATCAGAACTGAAATGAGTAAGACAGGGTCCCAGAGCAGAATAAAGGGTCAACAACCCAGAACGCTGCCTTTTAGAAAATACTGAAAATCTCTTATCCAAAAATCTTGAAAAAGGGAAAATGCCTAAATCGATACAATTAAAAAGAAAAAGAGAGATGTGAAGAGACCACAGTGAAAGACTGATGATAATTAGTGCCTATTTTTCAAACCTGTATTTTAATAAAGTAGAGCACATACAAAAAAAGATTAGTATCTAGGCACTTATGAGTTACCAAAATACAACAAAAATCCTAAGTAGATTTTTAAAAAAAATCACTGCGACTGAAGCGGTAACATAAGGTTATCGCAAAATAAAACCTCGGTACACAGGAATTTATGTGTAATAGTGATGAAACAGTGAAATAAGAACTATTAACAATGCTCTTCAAATGATTTCATGACATGGTAAAGGAAGGATATTTCTCAAATCAATTCTATGAGGCCAATAACACCCTGACAGGAAAAAAAGACAGGACGTAGGAAAAAAGAAAACTATTCACTAGTATTTTCATGAACATAACTGTAAAAATTCTTGATGAAATACTTGCAAACTGATTTCAATAACATACAAAGACAGATCACACACTATGACCAAGATGTTTCCAATCCATTGTTGCAAAAGGGTCCAGTTTACACCAATTAATAAATGTTACACACAACATAATAGAATCAAGGATAATATCACACAATTTTCTGCATTTGCCCAGTAAAAATCTACAAGTTTTACATAACTTCACAATAAAAGCCCCAAAGAAATTTGTACTGAAGGATCATACCACATGTAATAATTACCACATAAAACCCATGGCCACCATCATACTGGATGGGAAAAACACTAAAGCATTGTCTCTAAGATCAGTCAGTCAGGTAGGGCTGGGTCCTCAATGAAGAATCAGGGCAAAAAGTGAAAATGCATCACAACTGTGGCCAGAGACACAGCAGCTGAAAAATAACACAAAAAAGGACAGGCCTATATATATATATACTTCCCAAGGGAGAAAGGCTAGCACCTGTCCAATAAAATTAAATAGGCGTCAGCATCCTCAAGGACACCAAGACCCCCAGATCCATCAACTACTGAGTTCTCTGTTCTTTCCATGCCTGCTCGCTAGCTGACTTTACTTCCCTACCGGCTCAGCGCTACCTAAGCGCACATCCTCGTAACCTCGGTGTTTGACCACAACTATACCCCACACTGTTCCCACATGGCTGTGCTCTCTAAAACTCCCCCTGAGAAGTGGTGTCTTTGGGCAATCCACTTTCCAGGTGCCCCCTCCTGTCCCTCCAGCAGGAGCTTTCTATCTCTCAAAAAATATTTTGTATTCCTAACATCCATTTTTCCTAGAATTCATTCTTCAGTTTTAGAGAACATGAAGTCAGCGTATCAGACATCTAACAGATTAGAGTTGTAATATTTCCTTTGTATTAATGTTTGGAGGTTCTGATATCATTATCCCTGTATCATTTTCAAAGTTTTCCATTCAGGTAAGTGGATGGAGCTAAGAATTTGCTTTTGTTGCATAGATTATGGATTGCAAGTTGCTTAGGTAATCAAAATCCTCACTCTTGTTTGTTGCTTATTTCTTAAATTTTAAGCATTTTGTCAACTGCTTGCCTCTTGCCTTTTGTTAAAATGATGGTAAATCTGAGAACATGAAAAGATCATGGAAATGTCATGATCTTTCATGAGACATTTTACTTTGGTTGGCACAATCTTACAGTCCTGCTTTATATGCAGTACATTTACACTGGCTTGACTTGTTTTGAAGGCTGAGGTTTTCTCAGAAAAAAATAACATTAACGCACCATCTCGTGGGCTTTGATACTAACTACAGAGTAAATTTAGAAAACGCTGTAAAATGGGTCTTTTTATGAATTCTAAATTTATATTTTTTGAAAATACACATGCCTATTAATATTATCACAGGCCCCTTCCATCAGTTAAAAGACAGTATGTCAAGGGACACTTCTTAGACCTGGGGCACAGGTCTCACTGAGATATTCTGGCCTAATCCTTCTCTACACACCACAGAAAATGTTGAGCCTGATTTGCCTCAGTTTCCTTTCTGCCCTGACCTCCCGCTGGTGAGGAAGCAATTGGGGCTCCTTTCCAGGCTGAGAGTGAAGACTTGTGAGCAAGCTGTCTCGATGGCTCGTCGTAAGCATGAGAAGAAAGACTTCCTTTTCATCTTTTCTGCCACCTCTACTGTCCTCTTAGAGCCAGTAGAGAAGGAAAGAGTAGACCACTCCCACCCTCTCAAGTTAAGAACCTTTACATTGAGCCTATAGAAAAATGAACATTTGTGAACACCAAAGACAGGGAAGTCAGGCTCTTTCTTCAGTCCCTTAGAGGACACTGACAGCTAGGTTTCTTCCTAGAGACACATCTCTGGTTTTGTGGACCATGAAAACTGAGAGGACACTGAGGAAAGGCGATGCTGGCAGATACCCAAAAGTTCCTCAGTGGAAGCTGAGTCCTGACATCCTGACTGGGTAACCAGCAGATAAATCTCCAGGTACCTATCACCCGACCTGAACTCCTCAGGCAGGTGAGAGGGAACCTTCAATGATCTTCTGGTATCCTCTGTCCCAGAGTGACCAGAGACAACACTATTACAGCCTTTCCTAAAGCCTCCATTGAAGAGTTGAGCTACAGGTTTGGACTGTTCTCTCTTTGCTAATAAGGTAGACCCCGATGGGGCAGGCAAAGTAAGTAACTCTCTAAGTACCCTAACAAATCCCTGTTAGGACAAAGGTCTAAGTTAAATTCTCCTGAGTCTTTCTCCAACTCACTGAAATTAACTTTAAAATTCCTTGATTAGAGATCACTCTTCACTCCAGGTGGTTAAACTGAGGCAGCTGGCAACAACTGTTTGCCTTTTACAGAAGAGAACAACTATAAGGAAACAATTTACACTTGTGCCTTACATACGCTAAGAGAAAACAAGAGATTTTTAGTCAGCCTTTCTCTTTTTCTCATGTGCATGTAAAAACTGATGAATGAGCCCTTGCTGACTTGTAAATTGGGGTTGCTAGGTGACTAGTATGTGTTTAACCTGTGAGCTTCCGAGACAGAAATTCTAGATCAGACTTTAAACAGCCGTAGTCTTGTCTTGCTGCTCAGAAAGGTGGCCTAGGTGATCAGATAGATAACTCAAATGTCTTAAGAGGCTTTCTCAGCCTCGGGTCCAGCGTGGAATTCCTTGAACCACTCGTGTCTAGAAGCGATCTCTTCCACAGGAGGAGAAGTGCTCCAACTGTTTCTAACTTGCTCCTGGTATTTTCTCATTCTTCAAGAATCAGAAAGCAGTGGTTTAGGTCTCTTGATTATTGGTCTTGCTAGAAGGGTTCTTTCTTTAAACATGACTGTTACAGCTGAAATCAACTGTAACTTAGGCTGGAGTTAAAATCTGAGTTCCCAGGAAGACAGAGTCACATGCTGGTAAAAGGGCAGATAGTCTGTGGCTGGGTTTATCTCCTGGACCTCTCCAGATGGCAGCCACTTGCCCTGGAGCTGAGTCAACTCAGGGGCTGCCCTGAGAACACAAAACTCAAGTGGAAATCAAGGGATGCCCATTTTTCCTTGCATTTCAAAATGGGACACACAATGTCAAAGTCTCTTACTCCTTTAGAATGTATTAAGCACTGGAAGGTGTTTAATGCTCACATATTTAAAAAAGAGCACCTGCTCATGGCCTGCCTACTCTTCTAGAAACAAAATGGAATGTACAGCAAAATATTAATTATGATAGTATTTTACAGCTAGAACAATACTGGAAGAAAGAAGAAAAATGATCAAAACTTCGCTGTACTCAGACTTTCTTTGCATGAAAAATAATTCTTTCTTGTG